AAGCGCTGCAAACGTTCTTCAGCTTCTCTAAGAAAAAGACACACGTTACTCAAAAAAGACACGGGAAATTAAAGCACATATTAAACAGGGCTTTCATAATCACAATGCCACGGTTGCTCTCCAGCGAGCGTGAAGACGGCCTGCGCACCTGCTGTTTCTTCCTGCGCAGAGAGAGTTTCGGCGAGAGACGCATCAGCGGATGAACCGAGTGAGACTGAAGACGAGGAGAAAACATTCATATACACAGTAGCGGCCAAAAGTCATTTTAATGACCGTACAAATTCTATTAAACCATCAAAATGCAATGTAAAAAGTGTTCACTTACATTTTTTTAGTAAATCCATTGCCTTAAAATTATTAAAGGAGTGGTTCACTTTTTAAAAAGACTTTTGCTGATAATTTCCTCACCCCCATGTCATCCAAGATGTCCATGTCTTTCTTTCTTCAGTGGAAAAGAAATTAAGGTTTTTGATGAAAACATTCCAGGATTTTCTCCATATAATGGACTTCAATGGGGACCAAACGGTTCAAGGTCCAAATGAGAGTTTCAGTCCAGCCTCAAAGGGCTTTAAACGACACCAGACGATGAATAAGGGTCTTATCAAGCGAAACGATCGGTTATTTAATAAATAAATATCAATATGTAAGTTTTATAAGCTCAAATGGTCGCGTTCGCGACTCTCCTGTTCGAACTCCTTCATCAAAATGAACAAATCTTTTTCCGAGTCAATTCGTTCATTTCGTTCGTTGAATCAACCAAATGACTCAGAAAACGATTCGTTCATTTTGATGAACGGGTTCGAACAGGAGAGTCTCGAACGCGACCATTTGAGCTTATAAAACTTAAACTTTGTTATTTATTTATTAAATGAGCGATCGTTTCGCTTGATAAGACCCTTATTCATCGTCTGGAATCGTTTCAGACCTTGAACCGTTTGGACCCCATTGAAGTCCATTATATGGAGAAAAATCCTGGAATGTTTTCATCAGAAACCTTAATTTCTTTTCGACTGAAGAAAGAAAGACATGGACATCTTGGATGACATGGGGGTGAGTAAATTATCAGCAAAAGTTTTTTTTAAATGAACTACTCCTTTAAGTAAATGTAATACTTAATTGGAAAAAAAAGTTATGTGAACTTGACAATTCCACATAACTTAATTGTTTTTTAAACAGGTTTCCTCAATTTTTAAAGTTAAGTCAATTGATCACTTTTTACAGTGATTAAATACGAGGGAAGAACAAAACACTAAACTTATGCAATTATAATTTTGGGGGGGCAATCTACAGTTACAGGGTTTTTTTAAACCATGCAAAACAGGATAATGCATTGCAAACATAATCAAATATTCATATTTAGTTGGTTTGTTAATTGTTCTTGCATGTGTTCATAATTTATTTGCATGACAGTCTGGATAAAAATGACGTTGCACAATTTGCATCATTACGACTAATAAAACAATCAATATTTCAATAAGAATATATTTCAACAAGAATATTTCAATAAATGGTCAATTTTCATTGGATGGATTTTTAGCCACTACTATATGTTATCAGGGAATATATGTATTATATAGAGAGCATGTTTGAATACAGTAAGGTGAGATGTCGATACCTCTCTCTCCACTTCGCCGACTGAGTTGTGTGCTTTGGAGTAATGAAACAGGAACTGAAGAGCGGAAGAAAAACATCAGTCTGGCATCATCAGAAACAGGACAGAAAGCAGAAGCTGCTCTACAGTATATGGACTTACCCTCTTGAAAACATTCTGAATCTGCTCCTGTGGAAACACATGAGAGAGTTCAGACACAGGGTCACGGGGTCAAAGGTCATGATGATGAGCTCACTCACACACTCACCTGGTCCTGGTTCCTCCACTCCACACCACACAGAGAACTTAGTAAAGCCGAAGCCTAAACACACAGACATGTACAGTGTGATTAGCTATGAGTTAAAGGTGCAGTGTGTAAGTTTTAGCAGCTCATAGTGGCGAGGTTAGGAATTGCAACCAACAGTAAAAATCAATGAGATAATTTGGTTTACTTTGCAAACATTATTGCGAATGTTATTGTTACTTTAGCTCGCTTCTTTGCACGAAGAACAACATAGTGACGAAACGCGTTTGTCCGCTTAGGGCCACCGTGGAAACACGTCGATGTAAGGAGACCCGGTGTGTGTGTATGTGTGTAGATAGAAATGGCTCATTCTAAGGTAATAAAAACATAACGATTCATTATGTAAGCTCTTTATACACCACTGAAGACATAGTTATGGATAATATTGCATTTCTGTCAACAGATCCTCCTAAATATTACACACTGCACCTTTAAAATTAACTTGTACATTTGGATAAATAGATAGATAGATAGATAGATAGATAGATAGATGGATGGATGGATGGATGGATGGATGGATGGATGGATGGATGGATGCGATTATGTATGGAGTCAATTATTAGACAAAACGAATAAATTCATACCTGAATATAATCTCCATAATCATCACAATCTGTCTGTGGTCTAGGATAGCCTTCTGCAATCATACAAAGACAATGTGTGTTATTGATAACAGACAGAGATATCCCACATTAAAATCCTGATGATTATCATCATTTGAAACAACCTTTTTATAATTATTATAACAGGATTTCAACTAAATGCCCCCAAAAATTGTTGGTAACACTTTACAATATAAAAGCATTAGTTAATTACATTATATTCCATACACTAAGTACATACTTACAGCATTTATTAATCTCAGTTACATTTTTTTTTAATTAGAAGTTGTATCTGTTGATATTTAATGTGTCTGAGTTACATTAAACGTTTTATGTCTATTAACTAGCATATAGTTACTGTAATAAACCTATTTCTCATAGTTCATGCATTAACTAACACTAACTAATGGAATAGATTTATAATGATAAAACATGAAAGTGAATCAAATATTAATTAAATTTGTATCCATCTTTGATTCCTTTATTATTGATTTCAAATGATCAATAGTAATCCTGAACAAATTACATTAGAAATTCAAACACCACGTAAAGCTGATAATTAACTTTATAAAATGAGACGTCCTGTCATCAGTCGATACACACAATATTTAGAAATTTAATGTCAACTGAAATTGTGCTGAAGTTACTCACCCACAGCGGAATAAAAGCTGCTGATAAACCAAACTAAACAGCAAAACACCGACAAGTGCCGATAGCACGCGCTCCCCATTATATCCGTGTGTGTTGGGTTGAGTCCTGAAGGATGTTCTGGTTCTGGAGAACTGAAGTCCTGCTGATGCTGAATGCTGATCAAGGGTGTAAGTCTCTCATAGCAGGCGACCAATCAACACCGAGATTGAGTCCCGCGCGCACCATTACCCATTACCAGAGCGCGCTCTGGACCTGGGCGCGTCACACTCACACACACACACACACACACATGTGGAAATAATCACGGATCGAGAGAGACACGCGTCACAGGGACACCACATTCAATCATGTGGGCTCACCTTCTTAATTAGTATACTTCAGCATCTTTACATCCACCAAACTTTACATTTGTATTCCTATCTTATCCTATTAATATAGAAATAAAATGTAACAATGCTCTAGCCTATACATCGGGAATGATATGAGCAAATCTTAAGAATTCTCAAAATGCACAAAAAGTTCATGTTTCCGTTGTTTTTGGCCCATGTAACCTTGTAAATCTTCTTTAAAGTTCTCCTCAATTATTGTATCCATTACAAACCTCATATATAGGTGATCCCCATTACGTTTCACACTACAACTCCCAAGGCAGCCATTTTGACTGTTTTAAAATTTTGCAATGTACGGTAGGCTAATGATTTTGTTGAAATAAAACCCAACTATAGGACCCTAACTTTTCCTAAATGTGCTTATATTTTATTCTATCATTGTTATTTTATTAAAATTACAAGACACAAAAGAGTTTTGAGTATTTCTTGAATGGCCATCCCCAAAGATCCACAAGCATCAGTGAAAATGTACAACCCCAATACAACAAGTTAGCACACTTAGTGTAGAATGTTTTTACAGCATGATATTTTTGCTCACTAAAACAAATATTGGTTACTAATCAGTTTGTTTTCTCACAGTTTATAATATTTTCATAATAGCCAATATATCGTCCAGCCCTAAAACTTTATAGTTTTTTGGGGGTTTTTTTTGGTCAGTGTTTATTTAAAAATATCCAATAATGCAGAATATGCAATGATAAATATTTAATTGATGAGTTGTTGATATATATAACAATAATATATGGGTATGGTTTTACAGCTTCAGCATTTTGACTCAAAATGATAACTGCAAATCCACCTTTCGCTTCGAGTCCAGTTGTTTCTGTGAATTGCAGCAATCCATTTGCTTTTTTTTTGTCAAATCTAGTTGTACAATCAATAATCAATCAATCACAAAGCTGTTGTTTTTTTATTTTGTTTTTTAATTTTATTGAGAAATAAATCCAAGTACAAAATACAGTATATAAGAGGAATGCTTCACATGACAGATATCATATTGAAACATGTTTAAACAAATAAACAGGGATAACAAAAACAAAGGAGAAGAAGAAGAAAAAATACAAATAAAAACTAAATAAATATACATTAAAAAAAAGCTCAATATTTCTTTCTTTTCCTATAGACACTTTTAATGTTCATAATTTGGTAAACTAAGTGGGGGCATTAATTACAATACGAAGAATTCCTCCATAAACTTTAACTACATTTCATTCTTTTTATATTTAACTAATTTAAGTGACTTCCACAGCGAATGTTGTGTTTGTTTTTCGCGGCATTCAAACTGAAAACATGACGTCACGATAGTTCGCGCTAGAGCGCTCAGAGCCGTTGGAATGCACGTACGTCACTTTTAGAACTTAATTTTACGTCACAGTAGACTAGAGTATTTTGAACAATGAAAGTCACTTTTTCAGTTTGTAGGTAGTAGAAGATTTGGATTATCTGTTATCAGAGTGACTTTTGTAGGTAGAAGTTTTCTATTATCTGTTATCAGAGTGACAACATATTTATCATGGGACAGCAAAGTTCACGACCGAACACGGAGTGCGTACGCGAACCCTGTGTACTTCTCAAATACACCACCAACACGGCAGAAAACCATCCTCATCGGCTTGATGAGACTGTTGGGACTGGTGTGATTGATGGAGGGAGAAAGGAGAAAATGAGCTGGAGGAGATGGCCCACTCTCCACTTTCGTCGTCGAAGAGCTGCAAAATACGACCTGGCTCAGGCTGAGAAAGACTTCCAGAATAATTCGGGATTATATCGGAGATTTCGCCAAGGTAAAGTCACATGTCACCATGATACAACTGTTCTGCCCTACAAAGGCAAAGTGCAGTAACTATACTATTGGTCAAAGATGAGTTAAGACTTGTAATGGGCTTAATGACATGTGTTCTGTCTTGTGAAAAAAATATCGGTATTGATTAATGGATGATTCTTCATGAATTAGAACTATTTATGGCATCCATTTTAAAGGAGCAGTCCGTAACTTTTGGCGCTCTAGCGGTTAATAAACACCTAAAATAGTCAAAATATAAACAACAGGTTCATGATTGTTTTAATTTTGAACGGACAGTAGCTTTAAAGTTAGATGCCATTACAAAACCAGTCAGTATGTGAGAATTTAAACTAGATTTGCATTTTTAGAGAAGTTGAATTCAAGAAATGAAGTCAAAAGTGCCCCTATTGTAAAAAATGATTTTTTGGTGAAGTAAATCCTAGTAAAAAAAACAACAAACAATGTAATTTACATGAAAAAGTTAGTTCAGGCAAGAATAATAAAAAAAAAAACCGAAGTAAATTCCATATCAGTACTTAATTTAAGCGAGTAGAAATGAAAGTGTAAAATCAACTCAATAAAATTAAGTAAAAATTACTCAACTTTTCTGATACTGGGGTTCCCATCATGCATTGGACCTTGAATAATTAATAAGGTTCATTTTTCACTGTTTTCCAGCTGTATTTACACTGTTTTATCATTGATTTTTGTTGTCAGTATTAGTAACTTGCCATTTTGTGATATTTCGAGTATTTTTTTTGCTCAAAATGACGCATTCAAACACAAAAAACGACCCATCAAATGTGTATTGTCTACCAAGTATTGAGGTCTTTGCGTTCACATGATGCTTAACATGTGATGATGTAATATAAATTACGTACATGATCTAGAACACATACTATAAATGACGAATAAATTTCAATATTATTGTTTAAGTGAAATGTAATGGATATCGATATTAATCAACCTTTTACTAGCCCGAGTTAAAATGACTTATTTTCCGTAAAGTTTACTTAATTACATATTCCAAGTAAATTTAACTTAAAGATTTCCAATTAAAGCTACTGATAAATATGTTTAGGTTTTTACTTGGCAAATCTTTGTAAATTTACTAGCATTTTCTGAGTTTTTTTTTTTTTGTTGAGTTTTTGAATTTACTCCATTTTTTTTAAGTGTACATAAAGAACCACTCTAATTTTGTTCATTATTTTTGTTTGATTTAACATATAGCTCCAACTTCTGAAGTCCTCCCTGCTGCCGAGGAACAGCCAGAGGAGGAACAGCCAGAGGAGGAACAGCCAGAGGAGGAAGAGCCAGAGGAGGAACAGCCAGAGCTGAATGTCCTGCTCAAGAGTAAGAACAAGTCATCAATCAGATAAAAAAAAATGATAACTTATAAAATAAAATGTATAGATATAATTTAATTTCATACTAACTGTGATTGTTTTTTTTAATAGGCCCCATTTGCGAGTTTTATGAAATTGGCCAGAAGCTGGGCGAAGGAGGATTTGGCTCGGTCTATGAAGGAACTCGACGCATGGATGGACTTAAGGTTTCTTTTTATTCCTTTTTTTCTACATATCTGTTCAGGATTTATGTTTGCTATGATATGACTAATTTCTGCGCACACGCTAATTGGTAAATCTTGGTTTTGTTGCTCAGGTGGCTGTGAAGTTTTCTCTGAAGTTTCCAGAAATGCCATACGTCAAAGTGGTGAGTATGCTGTGCCATCTATCCATTTATAACCTTTTCTATTAATTTGTGGACTAAGTCCTTAATTGGGAAACCACCTCCATCTAACGGTCACATTGTCTTTCTTTCAGCCTGGTCATCGCAAACCCCTCCCCAATGAAATCGGCCTGACATTGATGGCCAACAAGGGTCGCCAGGTTCCGGAGATCATTAAACTGCTGGACTGGGAGGACGGCTTAGACCACTACATCATGGTCATGGAACGGCCATCTCCTTGCATGGACTTGTTTAGTTTCGTGGAGCTCCATGGAGGGATCCTCGAAGAGCGGACTGCGCGGCATGTTATGCAGCAGGTCATTCGCGCTGCTCAAATTTCATGCAAGCGTGGTGTCTTCCATCGTGACATCAAACTAGAGAACTTGCTGGTGAACCTGGACACCATGGAGGTCAAGTTGATTGACTTTGGGTGCGGTGCACTCATGAAGAACACTGCCTTCGATGTCTTCAGTGGTATGTATTATGAACATTATGACCGCTTTGTTCATTATGTATGGTCAACATGCTGTGGAAATGTATTAAATATCAGACATGATCTTTTTCCTCCAGGCACAGAGGTGTACTGTCCTCCAGAGGTCGAGGTTTACGGCAAGTACTACGCCAAGCCGACGACGGTGTGGTCTCTAGGCATCCTGCTGTTTGCAATGGTGTGCGGAAGTTATCCCTCAGACAGCGACCTGTACATGATCAACGCAAACATCTGGAGCAGTCCTGGCCTATCACAAGGTGAGATCTTCATCCAAGAGCAAAGAAGGACCACTGTCCAAGAGCTTTAAAATAGTGCATATGTAAATGACATGTTAATGTTCATACTCTCTTGTCTTTTTGCACAGAGTGCCGCCAGATGATTTGTGATTGTCTGCGACCTTGGCAACAGCAAAGACCCATTCTGAAGAAGATGCATCTCCACGACTGGTTTAAGGTTAGATTAGCTTAAGTTTTTCAGGGCCCGAGCAACTACTGTTTTGGCTCTTCTCCTCTTAAGGTGAGTATGGTCATTTTTTTTTAGCTAGCAGAGATCAACATGAAACTTTCCCAGTTGATTACCTACATTAAGATGAGGAAAAAAATATGTCACAAGTTTTGTGTAATTTAATGTTTGTAAATATGCAAATGAGGCATTATCTAATTAAATATGCACTTATTTGCATATATTTAAAAAAACGAATTTGATTTTTTTTTTTATTGTGTTCACATATTAGATTAGAAAAAAAATTACAGAGGGATTTATGGATATCTACTTTTGTTATCCTGTCAGTAGCCTTAAAAAAAGATTTTCGCCATGTTTTTTGGAATATAATGTTATGTAAATTAGGCTAGGAATAATATATTTACAAATCGCTCTGTAAATGTCTTCTTAATATTATTAGGTACAAGACTGGAAAGTTTGGTGTGTCTAGTGGAGATTTTGGACTTGGAGTGTGAGAGAAAAGTCATTTTGAGAAAACTGGCTTTGAAGATTTAGCATCAGCCAATGAGATCGCGCATTTAGAGTTAAAATCCCCACTTTTACTTTCATGATTGGTTGCTGAAAAACAGGAAATGACCATATTTGGATCCGACAGCGTTTTACAGGAGAATTTTTTTTTTGCATTTAGACAAGTAAGACTGATTTATGTTTTTATTTCAGGTCATGGAGTAGTTGATTCCTGTCTTCAGTCAGTTGTGGTGTCGAGGGATAAAAGGAGGAGGGATGACAGAGAAGACCACACCTGGGAGATTTACATTGTGTTAATAAATTTATGCCTTTGACTTTCTTTTTGTGGTTTATTTGACTTGAAAGTCATCTTGTGACAATGGATTGTTGAGATTTGACTGTTTATTGACTTGATAATGCACATTGACTTGATTATTGACACTTCTTAATGCACAACTTACTTAACAGCACACTTTTCATAGTTGTTTATTTATTTATTTTTGATACATATCATAATTTTATATTTATATATATATATATATATATATATATATGTATTGTTCTATAGATTTTATTGTAAGGATTTTTTACTTGTATAATATATGTGGCTTTTTAATAATATAAAGAACATTTGTGCTGGTTCTTCATGGAACCATCAATACCATTAAAGATGCTTTCTTTTCAAAAGTGAAAAATGATGTGCAAATAAATATTCCATAAAAAACAAGATTTGTCTCTTGTAATTTCACGGTGACTTTAACACGTGCTTGTTTTATTATTTATACCACAAGAGTAAAACGTTTGTAGACATAAATAAGTAGGCTACTTATGGAAATGTTATACTATATATTATCTTGAAAAAGACTAATTCAATTGTGTACTCTATGTTGTTTGAACCCCTGAAAATAGCCAGAAATTAATATGTGAAAATAATAATGTAATGTGCCCTGTATTTATGATCACTGTAAATGTATTCAAACATATATATTCTAAATAATCAACTGCAAAGTGAACTTTTATTTTTAAAGACAAAATGTCTGGCGTTTTAGTAATGCTTATTTAGAATAATAATTTTGTATTACGATATTATTACACCCTTAAATTATCCACACATACAATTTTAGTTTATTAATTATTATTACGCACAGTTTAAATGAATAAATATACAAATACGCTTTTGAATCAATAGATAAAAGCTATAAAATGAACTACATATGAGCTTTTGAGACTGTATTTGGTTCACTGCAGTTTTAAGGAGGAAATACTCAGCAATGCTGTCCACTTATAAAGCATATCAATAATACCACATAGACATCATAAACAACATTACAGGGGGACTTTGAGATTTTCAGGTATGGAAATATACTGAAATTGAATAAAGTTATCAAACACTTCACAGTCTTCACAGCATAAATTAAATGTATTTTGTTCTTTGATTATTGATCTCAGTTGCATATTTAAACATAACATGTAGCCTACAAATATATATATATATATATAATTGTTACTTTATTCACCTGCGCTGTCAAGCCTGGAAAATGTCGTTGATATACACACTGAAAAAAATAATATGCTTTATCTAATCAATAAAATTGTGGCAACATAATACAAGCAACATTATTAATTAAATTGTACAAATTAGAATTAATTAGAATATTAATTTGATTAACTATTACTCAATTCTAATTTGTTCAATTTAATAAATAATATTGCTTGTAATCTGTTGCCACAATTTTATTGATTAGATAAAGCATATTCATTTTTACAGTGTATAAGGAGGACAGAAACAAAACAATCCTGTATGAACATTTTCAGAAGGTCACATTCAGAATCCACTTATGTTATTATACATGTTTAGCCTACTCATCTGCGTAATTGTAGGGAATTCAGTGTTTAAATATAAAAGCACTGATAAAAAGGAAATAGCTGAGATATAAAGAAAAATTATATGCACCTGTTTTAGATTTAAACAATCGCTGCAATGGATGTTTTGATCGGTGAAGATTAGAATAACACGTTCATTTATTCCAGATTGCATAAGCTGTTTTTCCATAAACGGTGACGTCACTGGTCCTGCCGCTGATCCAGTTTCCAGTGTTTCGTCTTTGATGCATTAATAACGAATTACACAGTGGAGCGAGGCGTCGTTAACGACATGTTACGGCAGATTTACCCACGTGACCTCACCTTTCCCATTCACTCAGGGCTTTTGCTGCACGTGTGGACACAACCTCTTGACTTTCTCAGTATTTATTTGTTCTCGCATGAAATTTCATTTCACACGTGTAGTACAATTATGTGGTTTTGTTTCATTACTGTATACTTTTTTTTCTTTTTTTTTACCCTAAATGAAAGTGAAATGTGACAACATGCCCCATGTGTGTGTTCAAAACATGACTGATTCAAATGTTATCCGATCTAATAAAAGACTTTTTAAATAATTAAAAGAAACATTTATTTTTGTTTTCTTTTTTTGACCGGAAAACAGCTAGTCCCACAGCACACAAAACATAAAAATAATGAATAATTTCTGAACATGGACTCTCAGTCTTAATTCTAATGGTTTCTCAATAGAATTGACAAGAATAGACTATCATAGTTTAGGGGCTCATTGTAACGCAGTGTGACAACATGCCCCGCAACTAGGGTGAGTGTTTCTGCTGGTTAGTGAAGCATTAAAATACGATCTCGACTGTTAATAACACATTTAAAATTAAAACAATATCAGATTTGTCTAATTTTAAATAAACACACACACAAAAAGACAGAGATGAAAAATGAACTTGCGAATGTAGGCCTACTTTTGCTTGTTAAATATATGTTCAGCGATATCTTCCAAAGATTTCTGAATTTTGCCACATCTATGTGTTGTGTTGATTATAATAAATAAGTTTCGTCATCTGGCATGTGTGGAAGTATTTAAAACAAGCGTGTGACAACGAGCCCCGTGTTAGTTTGTTCACTCATTCAGTCTATCACTCAACTCCTGACATCACGGAAGCAGAGGATTGTGGGTGTAATCATAATTGGGTTTTATTAGTTGAAGTCTAATTTGATTACAAGACATACCAGACACCAACCTGAAAGCCTCATTCGTCCGAGTGTGTGACAGTCATTTGCTTTCATGGTGAGAGAGATTTATATAGTTAATAACTTGTACAGTAATAAGCTGTAGTGGGTTATAGGGATCGATGGTGCATGGCACAACATGTTCTTTCAGTTTTTCTATATTTTTGCAGATTGAAATGTACTGTGTTGGTGTCAGTGGTGTGAGGTATATTGGCCCAAACATGGGAAAATGAAAACACCTATAATTATGTACATTATAGTTTTTATGTTACATTTAATGTTGTTAAAATAATGTTTATTGCATTTTTTTTAAACGTCATGTGCGTTACCATGATGGTGTTTAATGTTTGTGTGAATGAAACACAATGCAGCTTCTAAATATTAATATTAACTTTCGTGTGGAAGAGTTGCTTGTGATGATCTTTAATAAATCATGTGACTCATCACTGTTGTGATTATTGAGTGTCAATATATTACAATGGTACAAAACAGTAAGTAAGTACACTGTAAAAAATATCGGTGATTTTAACGGTAAAATGCTGTAAAAATGCTACAGTGCAAAACTGTTAATTGGTTAACAGAAAGTTTCCGACTTTATATGGTAAATAACTGTGATATAATTTTACAGTAAAATATCGCTAAATTTACAGTTTTTGAAAGTGAAAAAGAACAAATCGTTGTATATTTTACAGTGAAAAACCGAAAATTTACATTCCCACAATTCTCGTGTGACACTTATTATGTATTTTTGTTTTTTTAATCAGTTATGTACATTAGGGTTTTATGTTACATTTAATGTTGTTAAATTAATGTTTATTGCATTTTTTAATTTCATGTGTGTTAATATGATGGTGTTTAATGTTTGTGTGAATGACACTGTGCAGCTTCTTTATATAAGTATTGCTTAATTAAGTAATCACTTGATGAGCTGTGATTACTCATGTAACTCTCATCACTGCTGTGATGATTGATGGTTGTTAGTATATTACAATGGTCTAAAACAGATATCAGTAAGTTGGTAAATCAACATTTTATCAGAAAATAAAATATGGTTTATTACTGTAAATGTTAAGTTAAGTCTGTAAAACCATTAATGTTCCTACCGTATTTTTAACGGTAAAGTTCTGGCAACCACAGCTGCCGTTTTTTTACCGTAAAATTTACAGTTTATTTTTTACAGTGTAAATTATATTATATCATATAATAAAATATGCTCATAAAATATGCTTATAGCCTGTAAAACTAATAACCGTATTTTTGACGGTAAAGTTCTGGCAACCACAGCTGCCGTATTTTTTTTACTGTAAAAATTACAGTTTATTTTTTACAGTGAGTATTATATCAATGAAAATATGTGGTTCCATGAAGAACCTTCAACATCAATGGAAACACTAAAGGTTCTTTAGAATGTTCGCATGTTCAAAGAATGGTTCTTCTATTTGGAATCTGTGAAAAATCTCCTTAGAACCTTAATTTTCAAGATTGTACCGCATTTTTCAGGATACATTTCTCTGATAAATTTCTGGCAACCATGTTTTCCCCATCTCATGAATGAGCATCTGAAGGGCTTTTAAGAGACAACCTCTTCTCATTTCTGCAAATGAATAAACACGTCATGCAGCCATAACTACAAAAAGGTTTAGTCACAAAATGTCATGTTCTCCCAACTGGCCAATCAAAGCGCAGGCGGATCGACTCCTACAGTGCCTGAAAACTCGTCATGTCATCGTACTGATTGAAAAAAAAAGAGTGTTAGTGGAGCATATTGTAGTCAGAGGAGCTGGCCACAGATGGCTTGAAGAAAGACCAGGGACCGGTGAAGTTCGTAAGTGCTTTTATAGTCAAAGTAAGTGTTGTTCTAGTCAGCCAGAGTGTGCATGATGAGGTTTGTAATGCCAAAGAGAGCGATCAAATGATCAAACCAATCTGTGTGAAAGCCACTCCAGCAAAGTGACGGACTGAATAGAAAAGTTTCCATCGTCACCAGCTGGAGAAGTGTGTAAGAACAATCAAACAAGGTGAAAGTCTCGGGTTTAACGATGTCAGGTTGTTCTGCTGGACGTCAGGTGATGATAGGCCGCCATAATGAGCCAATCAAACGTCCGACGGGACACATAGAGGTGAGACCTCTGAATCACTGTGAATCAATCATACAGGCACACGTGTGTGTCCACGAGAGAAGACGCACTCAAAAAAATAAGCCGTTGAACAAACTAAATTCAATTAAGGAAAACTTTTCCACGAAATTAAATTTTTCCAACAAAATTGAACTCGATTTGTTGTAATCGTGTTGTACGAAATTAAAATAATTGAGTCAAGACGACTAAAAACTAAAAAAAAAAAAAAGAATTTGCCATTTCTAAAGAAAATTGTGTGTCATGTTAACTACATTTATATTTTGTCCTGCCTAGATACAATTGTCATTATAATTTTATCTAACTTGACTTTACATTTACTTCCTATTACATTAAAACCACTTTTACATAGTATAACAACCAATATATGTAGTTCAAGTGTGAGATTTAATGCATATATAGTTATACTGAGTGTACATATTGATAACCACAAAATTCAAAAACATGCAGAAAGTCCATTAGTTTCTAACATAACAAAACACTAACATTAGCAACATCTTTCCATTTACTGAAAAACACATAAAATAACACTTTAATCCCTAAATTTACCCTTCTATACACTCCCTTGCAAAGCATGCTGGGAACTACATATCCACAACAAAAATGATTATAGGCTTTTTAACATATATTAGGTTGATTGAACACAATTAAATTAAGTTGTAAAAATGTTACAAATCGTGTTACTTTAGCTTATTTTAATTAATTAAATTGAACAAGAGGCAAACGTTTATTTTTTGAGTGCATGTTAAGCATTGACTTTCTGTTGCTTTGACAAATAGTTCTGTTTCCATCAAAATTTGCACTATTTAATGTGTGCTAATTAAGCAGTGTTTCCATCTCATGTGTTCAGGAGAACATAATCATCACTTCCTGAATCTGATAAAAATGGAAGATGCAATCGGGCTCTTTTACCCTCCCAGAAACGTTGTTTTCTTTAACTATGAAACCTTTTGTGCCGACAACTGGTTGAGGGGTTTTAGTATAGACATAAACATGAGTAATATTCATATCATATATTTGTTCATTTTATTCAGTGACAAATGCTAATACCATATGAATATTTGTACGGTCTGCCAGCTGAACACGAATAAACTGAAAGTTTCAGTTACGAAGGAAAGGTGTGCTTTGTGCTTCGAGAATAATATTTGATGACAATTTTTACTTTCCACACCGTTTTATGTATTCACACCATAAATGTTGAACCTAAAAGTTTCGGCGGGGTGAAACTAATTATTTCGCTAATATGCAAATTGAAAATGCTGGTAACCGAAAGTGCCAAAATAAAAGCTCGAGGAGGTCAGTATGTGTAGTGTCAATTAAATAACAAATAAAAACCATCTCATCCGGGGAAATGCACTCTTGGACATGGATTATCGCGATAACTACCTAAAATAATAAACACGTTTGAAGAAACTGTATGTTTTAGTGCCACTTTTATCAAAGGTGTGGGATTTATGACCTTTAGCCATAATCGCCAGCCACGAGGGGGCTCACTTTGACTGATGATCTGTCACGTTCGCTTTGTAAAAAGGCAAGCAGAGCTGCTTTCTGCTCGGCTAAAATGTCAAACGAATTATTATTTTAGGTAGTTATTATCGCGATAATCCATGTCCAAGAGTCCATTCCCCCAGATGACATGTGTTTTATTCGTTATTTGACACTATAAACACTGATCTCCTCGAGCTTTTATATTGGCACTTCCGGTTCCACCCGAAACATTTAGATTAAACGTTTATATTTAGATTTAACATTTATATTTAGATTTAACATTTATTTAGATTTATCATTTATATTTACATTTAACATTTAAATTTAATGTTTAACATTCAGGTGAACATTTAATATTTAGATTTAACTATTTTAAATATCTCTAAGTTGACAAATATAGATGTAAATGCGCTAAAAAGTGACCGTCAAAAATTCATACCAGTTTTTTAAACATACTTTTAAGCTAAATTTGATAAAATGTTGCTGTTATTTTCAGCGTGAGCGCTTTATAACGGCGTCCCATAACAAATAGCCTTTATATGGAGGTGGAACACTTCCTGAAAGCGACACAGCAAAACGCCTTTCGCGATCGATATTCGTCGGATATTCGCCTGCATGGGCAAAATGAACGTTTTCTGATAGTATAACAGAGATAGAGAGGGTTGCTAAAAGTTTAAGAAAGACATAGTGATAAAAAAAGATCCCTCCTTCGGGAATTGCTTGTGTCACACTCGTTTCCAAACAAACGAAACTGAAGCGTTCATGCATGGTGTCATTTTAATGGAAAAATGGCAGATAAAGCTTCACTCGATCGGGAATCTCTCAGATGCTCCATTTGTCTGGATCTCTTCAGAAACCCGGCGATTATTCCCTGTGGACACAGTTTCTGCTCGGACTGCATCGCAGGTGTGTGGGATCGGGATCGGGATGTGTGCAGATGCCCTCAATGCAAACACACGTTTAACCGCAGACCTGTTCCCATTGACTGGCTCCACGTGAACGAACTTTCCGAGAAGCTGATGAAGATGAGAAGCAAGCAGGCTGAGGATGACGAAGATGTGAGCTGTGACTCCTGCACCTCGAGAACGAGCAAAGCCGTCAGATCCTGCCTCACCTGTCTCGCCTCTTACTGTGAGTCTCACCTGGAGAAACACAACGATCTGCACGGCTGGAGGAAACACCAGCTGACGGACTCAGCCACGGATCTCCACGGCAAAACCTGCTCTCAGCACGGCAAACTCATCGATGTTTTCTGTCGCACTGATCAGCAGTGTGTCTGTCTGCTGTGTGCGATGCATGAACACAAGAGTCACGACACCATCTCAGCGTCTGACGAAAGAGCAGACAGACAGGTAGAGGTCCTGGCTTTTAATATCGGACAATCTGGTGACACTTTACAATAAGCTCTCATTTGTTAACATTATTAATGAACAGTACATTTGTCACAGTATTATTAATCATTGTTCATGTTAGTTTGTTCATGTTAGTTCACATCGTAGCCTAAAGTCCCTCAGAGTCAATCATTTTATCCCTGAAAACTCAAACTCAACTCAAAATTGCTTGAATGCAACGCTAATATGCAAATGAGCCCCGCCTCCACTCCCTCACTCAGAGATCCACTGGTTGACGATCACACGTTGATTTTTTTTTTTATTGAAACATCTTCAAAGAAAACAATCACAATATAGAACAAATAAACAGAAAAAACACAAACAAAAAAAGACTACAGATAGCAAACTGACATGACATCGAAACAACCTTGATCTAACATTGTTTTGGTCATCGAACCAACGTCAGACGCGTCATTCTTTCAAAACTAACGGAAAATCAACTTGAAATCAACGCGTTGTTTCAACGTTATGAAAGCAAACCAATTTTCGATTTTCATTTAGCTTTGAAGAATGCCGCGTCTGACGTTGGTTCAACGTTAATTCGATGAGCAAAATCAACGTTGTTTCAATGTCATGAGAGACGTCGTTTCCACGTTGATTCAATGTCAGTTTGCTGTCTGGGAGGGGTATATAACTAATCAGAAAAAAAATACATATCAAAGAAAAAGATTAAAAGACTTGCATATTTCAACAGTTTTTAAAGCCTTCTTGTTACAAGAGTCAAAGATAGTCCCAAAGTAGTGTTGTATTTCAATAAGTAACGATCACACGTTGATCTGATTGGTTACAAGGTGGTTTGTGACGTCAGAAACACCAAAGCGTGTTTTTGAGACTGTCTTTGGTTCACTGCAGTTTTAAGGAGGAAATACTCAGCAATGCTGTCCACTTATCAACTTACACACGATTAAAAACACCACATACACACACATAAACAAGATTTAAAAGCTAGATTTTCACTACAGGGGGACTTTTACTAACAAATTCAACTTTTGATTTTAATAATGTATTATGTTGAAAATAATAGAAGTATTGCAATGTTCACTCTTAGTTAGCTAGCTATGAAACCTTATAGTAAAGTGTTCCCAATATCTTAATCCTGGTCTCTAAAAGTTAACGTAATGCGCATTTACAGGTGTTATCAGCAGTTAAAATCGAACTATTTTCTGTCACCAGAGGAAGTTAATGGAAACGCGTGTGAAGTTTCTGCAGAACATCCAAGATGGAGAGAAGGATTTTAAAGAGCTGACGCAGGCGGAGGAGTTGATCCGAGTGAGTATTGATCACAGATCAATTTATCAGTCTATCACTCACGTTATTAGTCTGTCTTCCAGCCCCATAAGAAAATGTTGCATAGAGACTGCTATACAGTAATTAACTTATCTATTATGATTCATGGATCCAGGAGAAGTACATCTGAGTAAGAGGATATAATTGTGGATATTAATGTGGAAAGCAGCTCACATCATTTGCTCTTTGCAGAGTTTGATGAGAGATGTTGGCAGTTTGAGAAATTGTTGAGACGTCTTCTGAAACTTTAGAGAAAGATCTTGGATTTTTCTTTTCAGGAAAACATCTGAGAAGCAAATACTCAGCTTACAAGCGTATTTTGTTAACTTTCCCATTTAGTTATGAAAGTGTCATTTCTGAATGTTTTCTAAAGCATCTAAACTAGGGCTGTCAAGCGATTAATCGCATCCAAAATAAAAGTTTGTGTTTAAATAATATAAGTGGGGGCACTGTGTATAATTATTTTGTATATGTATAAATACACACACATGCTTGTATATTTTTAAGAAATACTTTCATGTATATACTGTATAAATATTTTATATATAAATAATATTTTTTCTTAAATATACATGCATATGTGTGTATATATATATATAATTATACACACTACACACACATATATTATGTAAACACAAACTTTTATTTTGTATGCAATTAATTGTGATTAATCGTTTGACAGCCCTAATCTAAACATTACATTTTTAAAAAATTTTAAAAATGTTTTTGCGTGGTTATGGGAACGTTAAGGAAACATTAAATTTAAAAATATATATTTTATTATTATTATTTACATAATCCATTCTGCAGAATGTTACTTTTGAATGTTCTCTAAACCAGAAGTACCATTTAAAAAAACGTTAGACGAACATCTGACTAAAGCATTCCAACTATTTTTGGAATATTATTAAAGAGATACATATGAATATTTTATTAATGTTACTGGAAGAATGTTTGAGGAATGTAATGTTATTTCAGAAATGTAAAGATAAATAAAATAGTATAGTCAAATTATGCAGTTAGCTAACATGAAGTATTCATTTAGGCAGACATAAGGAGCTTGTTAAAGGGATACTCCACTTTTTTTGGAAATAGGCTCATTTTACAACTCCCCCAGAGTTAAACAGTTGAGTTTTACCATTTTTAAATGTATTCAGTCGATTTTCTGATATTAAGAAGAATATCTGTAACCAGACAGTTTCTGGTCTCATTGACTTCCATATTATATTTTTTTCCTATGGAAGTCAATGAGACCACAAACTGTCTGGTTACTGATATTCTTCTAAATATCAGAAAATCGACTGAATTGATTCAAAAACGGTAAAAGTCAACTGTTTAACTCCCAGGGAGTTGTAAAATGAGCCTATTTCCAAAAAAAGTGGAGTATCCCTTTAAAGTTGTGATCATAGTGATTCCAGTATATGTAAGATATATTTAGTGATTGTTCTTCCTGAAACAGCGTTCAGCGCAGACAGCAGTCGCAGAAAGTGAGCGAGTCTTCAGCGAGGTGGTGTCCGGCGTTCAGGAAACATGCTGTCGTGTGAAGGAACTGATCGCAGATCAACAGAGAGCTGAACTCAGTCACATTGAAGGACTTCAGGAGAGAGTCCAACAGAAGATCGCTGGCATGAAGAGGAAGGTGTCTGATCTTGATCAGCTCATGACCTCTGGAGATCACATTCATTTCCTGCAGGTTTGGGAAGATTCTCCAAAAACAAACTCGTATTCTAATCTAAAGTCCCCGTGGTGTTAATAATTGTATCCCTTAAAACTCATCTTTGATCACCAAAATTACATATTTACATTTTTTTTCTTTCTTGCCTAAAAATGTCTTGAATGTAACTCGACACCTTTGCCTCATTTAGTATTCGCGGTTCTATGAATATGCAAATGAGCCCCGCCTCCATTCACTCACTCAGAGATCCACTGGTTGACGATCACACGTTGATCTGACTGGTTACAAGGTGGTTTGTGATGTCAGAAACACCAGCGATGTTTTTGAGACTGTCTTTGGTTCACTGCAGTTTTAAGGAGGAAACACTTGACTTGTCGACCTATGAATTTACACATAGACTCGTAGACACATAGACATATAAACAATATTAAAAACTGGATTTTCACTTTAATAAAACTCTTAAGTTTATAAAATAACAACACTTTCTCAATGTTTGATGAGGAAACCACTAGATTATATTTACTTTTCGATATATATATTTTTAAATGTAGCCTACACTCTTAGAAGAAAAGGTTCTATATAGAACCTTAAAAGGTTCTATTAGCGCTAAGTATTTGGAACCCCTAAAAGTTTCTTTACTCTCTTAAAAAAGGGTTCCTCTGGGTTCTATATAGAACCCTGGGGTTCCATACTTGGCCAATAGAACCCTTTACCAAAAAAAAAAATTTTTCTATATAGAACGATTTTGGAGTTCCATATATGAAGCGGGGGATGGAACCATTTCTGGTTCTAAATAGAACCATTTCTTCTAAGAGTGTATTGACAAAGTTTTGAAAGAATTAATGTACATTTTTGTGTTTTCTTTTTTCTGCATTATTTATTATGTATCTGTAGAATTGCCCATCTGACTGTGAAGAATCCTCGTCTGAAGAATTTGAAGATCTTTCCAGCGTTTCTGAACATCCAGATGCTTTTTATCACAACGTGAGGATGCTGGTTTCTAAAATGCAAGAGCGTTTGATGGATGTCACCAAAACGACAGAGATCGAGATCAAGTTCAAGTCTCTAAAAGGTTGGAAGGCCTCATTAAATATATAAATAAAAAAACTGATAGATTCTCCATTTTCGAGTTCTATCCCACTGTAAAAAATGCGATATGATCAATGAGTCACGGCGACATATGATTTTACAATACTTCAACTCATCAAACTAAGATAAGCAATTTTTGCTATTTCACATCTATTTAAAACAGTCACCAAATATGGAAATTCGAGTCTTTTCTATGATATAGAGTTTGTGTGGGACAGTGACATTTATAGCCAATCATTATATCCCTGAAAACTCACCAAAATGACATTTAAGCATTTAAAATGTTCCTTGAATAAAATTTTTCATGTCTTAAAATATCTTGAATGTAACTCGACACCCTTGCCTCATTTAGTATGCGCGGTGCTATGAATATACAAATGAGCCCCGCCTCCACTCCCTCAGAGATCCACTGGTTGACGATCACACGTTGATCTGATTGGTTACAAGGTCGTTTGTGACATCAGAAACACCAAAGCCAAAGCGTGTTTTTGAGACTGTCTTTGGTTCACTGCAATTTTAAGGAGGAAATACTCGGCAATGCTGTCCACTTATCAACTTATACACGGTGTGTGTGTTAAAGCAGATTTAAAAACACCACATACACACATAAACAACATTAAAAACTGGATATTCACCACAGGGGCACTTTAATGTTGGTATTACTTTGACAAACTATAGGCTACATCTACATCAAAATTCAGTATTTGACTCTATTATATTCTGAGAAACTTTTAGTGACAGTTATGTCTTAATTTGTAGCAACATAAACAACAACAAAAAACTCGTATTTGTTACATTCAAGCTATTTTAAGACGTGAAGAATTTTTTTCAAGGAAAAAAATCATTTAAATATGTCATTTTGGTGCTCAAAGATGAGTTTTAAGAGATAAAATGATTGACTACAGCGGGACATTAACAGATTTATATGGAAGCTTGTTTCCGCCATTGAATAAAAAATATAATAAATAATTGTGACTTTTTATCTCACAATTCTGACTTTTTCTCACAATTCTGACTTTTTCTCTCACAATTGCGAGTTTATATCTCACAATTCTGACTTTATTTCTCAGAATTGCGTGATATAAAGTCGCAATTGTGAGTTATAAAGTCAGAATTGTGTGTTATAAAGTCAGAATTGCGAGATAAAAAGTCACAATTATTTATTATATTTTTTATTTAGACAGAAGTGTGACTTTTTTCTCACAATTGCGAGTTTACATCTCGCAATTCTGACTTTATATCTCGCAATTCTGACTTTATAACACATAATTGCGAGTTTATATGTCGAAATTCTGACATCTTTTCTCAGAATTGTGAGATATAAACTCGCAATTGCAACTTATTAGGCCAATTCTAAGGGGAAAAAAAGATTAACTTTTTTCCCCCTCAGAATAGTTTAAATCTCACAATTCTGACTTTATATCATGCATTTCTGACTTTATAACACGCAATTCTGACTTTATATCTAGCAATTCTGACTTTATAACTCGCAATTCTGACTTCATATCTCGCAATTCTGACTTTATAACTCGCAATTCTGACTTCATATCTCGCACTTGCGACTTTATATCACGCAATTCTGACTTTATATCTCGCAATTGCGACTTTATATCACGCAATTCTGACTCTATATCTCACAATTCTGGCTTTCCATCTCGCAATTTTGAGAAATGTCAGAATTGCGAGAAGTAAACTCACAATTGTGAGAAAAAAAGTCAGAATTGTGACATAAAAAGTCGCAATAACCTTTTATATTTTTCATTCAGTGGCGGAAACAAGCTTCCATAGATTTACGTGTACAAAATGAAAAATCCTACATTTAAAGATAGTAAACACGTCATTTGCTTTTCTCCGTAGTTTTGCCTCCTGTTGGAGGAACTGTAAAACTGTCTTCAACTCCAGCGTTTGGTAAAAAAGACGAGCGGCGGTATTGTGATATCAGCCTGGTGAAGAACGAAGACACATCTAATGTCTGTAATCCGCTTTCAACTGTTCAGAAGGAAATCTTCCGTTTTGGGGAGCCAGAATTTAACTTCAGTTTTCAGCATTTTCCCTCTAAACCATATGAGCCATATACGAGCCAAATATATGAGCCAGCTGTACCATTACCGGATCTTATTGACATCTCGACTGGAGAGGAAAATGAGCGCGTAGTTTTCAGTCACAGAGCCAAACTGTTCCGCTTCGACAGAGAATCGATCGAGTGGAAGGAAAGAGGCGTTGGCGAAATTAAAATACTTCAAAATGATAAACCCAGAAGTGCAAGACTCGTGATGAGGAGAGAGCGGGTTCTGAAATTATGTGCAAACCACTGGATTGCCTCAAATATGAAGCTCGAGCCAGTGAAATCGAGCGGGAAAGCGTGGACGTGGAATGCGCTGGACTTTGCTGACGGAGACGGCGTGGATCAGACGTTAGCGGTGCGGTTTAAACTGCAGGAGTCGGCCGATGCCTTCAGGGAAATCTTTGAGGAAGCAGTGGCCGCCGCATCCAGGGTATCAGAAACAGGTGAGCGTCTGTAATCCTGCAGATTTGCTGAATTAAAGGAGTAGTTCACTTTTTTTGCTGATAATTTACTCACCCCCAACCATGTCATCCAAGATGTCCATGTCTTTCTTTCTTCAGTCGAAAAGAAATTAAGTTTTTTTTGATGAAAACATTCCAGGATTTTTCTCCATATAATGGACTTCAATGGGGTCCAAACGGTTCAAGGTCCAAATGACTCGAAAAAAGATTCGTTCATTTTGATGAACGAGTTCAAACAGGAGAGTCACGAACGCGCATCACAGAGCATTTGAGCTTATAAATCTTAAACTTTATTTTTTAAATTTTTTTTCTTCATTTCGCTTGATAAGACCCTTATTCATCGTGTGGAATCGTAACACTCTGATGGTCTTCGGGGTCTGTTAGACCCCAAATGACTTTTGCTTGAATTAAAAAAAATGTTCTCTTTTTCCAAATGGTATGAAGCTCTCAACACTGTCTAGATCTACAAAAAAAATTAAAATGGAATTCTTTCTGTTTTTATGTAGGCGTGACAAAAATAGTCACACTCGTGGTCTTCGGGGGCCATTGGACCCCAAAAAATAACATTTAATTTTGTAACAGAACAATAGTTTTTTTTTTTAGTTTTTTTTTTTTTTTACAAATATTATTTAACTGTTTATTAATGTTTTTACTCAACATTTGTGCAGTTTTTTGAGGATTTATGATATCTTTTAAATATCTATAAATAAATAAATATTTATCATTGGACTCAAAATAGACAAAATTCATCATCAAAATCAGAAATAACGCAGAACACCGACAGAAATGACAGAAATCAAGTGGCGCACTTCCAAAAATGCAAAAAACTTCCACAATCTAAAATTATCATGCTCACACACGTGCACACACACATATAGAGGAATACAATATACAGGAATACATACAGACTATAAAAACTGTTCTCTTATCATTTGTAAAATAAAATACTCTAAAATGCAGAACCACACACACACACACACAGGAATACATTTGTAAGGCTATAAAAGAAATGAGACCAACTATTGTTCTATTGTTTTCCTAGATTTTCTTCCCAATTTACTTTTTTTTTTTTTTACAAAAACAAATGCTAAACTTTGACAAAAAGCATTTTATTTTTGTTATAATTGTGATTTTATAATATTTAGATGTGAATTCAACTGAATCCAACTTTAGAAACTATATCTTTCAGTAATTCAAATAGTTTATAGGCCTAGTGGAGCTCTATAGCCATCTAGTGGTTAAAGTGACTTATTACAAATTTTAACCTGTATTTTCCAAAAAATGGGCAAAAATCTTACATTCAACCTTGTAAAATTATCCATGGTATCCCCAGGAATGAAAGAAATGCTGTTTTTTTTTGTAAAAATCCTATTTAAATAAATATGTATTAATTTATTTATAGAAATAAAAAAAATCATAAATCCTCCAAAAACTACACAAATGTTAAGTAAAAACATTAATAAACATGGTTTTTGAAGACCATCAGAGCCCTTTGAAGCTGCAGTGAAACTGTCTTTTGGACCTTGAACCTTGTTTATTTTTGTTTTTTTTTAGTTCAAGGCATTAATGTGGTGTCTCTTTCTTATTCAGAAGAAGATCGTGAGGAGGCAGTCAAACCTTTAAAAGGAGAGTTGTGTCCTGGTCTGTCCGTGCGAGGAGATTCCTCCGCTGGTCATGGTAGGATGTTCTGGTTACAGTGAATACCAGTTTGCTGAAATACTGCCACAAATGCACATGTTTATGTCACTACAGATATCAACATTAAATCTTCATTAAGGCTCTGATGGTACGGAAGCGTATCGCATTCACTTGAGGAAACAAATCTACTCTGTTTTTCTGAATTAACGAGTGAATTGTATTAGAATTAAGCAGTTTTTGCTCAGTATTCCTGAATCAACGAGTTAAAATATAGAAAAATATTCTGAGATAATTAACTCGTTAATTCAGGCTGGATTTTTTTTTCTTCGAGTGAGTGCGATACGCTTCCGTAGTGATGTCATCGGCTGCTTCTAATATCGCAGTCTTGTTTTTCTGTGTTAAAAATAAATTCTCGTTTATTTCTGAAGATGCAAATCTTCCCGGGGAAAATGCTGGAGATGCAACAGAGATGCAAAGCAAAAAGAGTGATGATGAGGATGATGATGATGATGATGAGGAAGATGAGGAGGATGATGAGGAGGAGGAGGAGGATGATGATGAAGCACCTACACATGTAGATATCTCTACTAAATAATAAAATAAGTAATAAAATAATACTTGAGGAAGTTGTTGTAAAAGTACCGGGGTTTTGTAGTTGTTTCTCTGTAACGTACTGAAATTATAAAGTTTACACGGAATCTGATTCTATTGTGTACAAACACTTTTAATAGAAGTGTTTATTGTGTTTAGACTGGTTTCTTTCAAGGCTTGTGTTGCATTCTAAATTGTTATGTTTTTTTTTATTTTAATTTATTTATTTTAGTGCTGTCAAATCAAATAACCCATATATATATATATATATATATATATATATATATATACACTGTGTATAAAAGTTAAAAGTTATTTATTAAAATCAATGTTTTTTTTCAAATTTAGAAATGTATTAGTCATTTAAATCAAATGTAATTAGTCAAATAAATCGAGTGTAATAAGTTGTATGAATCAAATTAAACATTTCAATATTGCTAATTAGAATTAATTTATTTTATATTCCAGTTTTAGTTTTTATTCATTTAATTTTCAGTTAATTCATTTTTAGTGTGTATCGTCACACTTTAATTTAGGTCTCTCTATTAATTACGACTTTTGCCTCAGTAAACTTCTAATCACTGCTTATTAATAATTAGTAAGCTAGTTGTTGTGTTTGTATTGTAGAATATGATCATGCAGAATAAGGCATTAATATGTACTTTATAAGTACAATATCCTATAGTTTTTCTTAACACGCATTTGTATTTTCATTATAAAGCGGATAATTCCGGTCCTTGATTCTGATTGACGTGCCTAACAAGTTCGAAACTGAGTGTAAACCGTATTCATTGGTTAATTATGTCATTGCTTCCCTCGAGGTGGAGCTTCCATCGGTCGAGGAGGACGAAGAGGAGATGTTGTTGAAGGAGAAGGTCAAACTTTACCACTGGGACTGTGATATTAACAAGTGGAAAGCCTGTGGTGAAGGAGACATTGAGATCCTTTTCCATCCCTCGAGGAAGATCTACCGCTTATTTATGAGGCGAGAAGGGGATAAAAAGGTGTGTGTGAACCACTGCATCACCAGAGCCATTCACCCGAAACCATTGAGCACTTCTGCAAACACAGTGACGTGGACCGCTGCTGACTCTTCAGGTACACACACTCACAACATTTACAAAATACACTTAATATTCAGTATTGATTTAATTTTCAGATGCTATTGTCTTTTAGAGCTGCTTTACAGCAGATTTAGTCTCATATTTGAAGTTTGCATAGAGTCAATGCAATCTTCATAAAGTGCTATAGAAATAAAAGCTGACCTGACTTTACATGTGCTTATATTTCCACACAGAGGGAGATGCTGTATTACGGAGGTTTACTGCCAAGTTTAAGATGCCGGAACTGGCTGTTTCTTTCACAAAAACTTTAACAGACTGTAAAAGTCACATGTGAGAGTTCACGCAAACTTTGCAAAAGTAAAGCTGCCTTTCCTATCTAATAACCTAGCTCAGAGGTCACCCTGAACGAGAATGTTAGAACAATGATGTCATGTCACATTGACTTGATCAAGCCATTCAAACGATGTAAATATATATTTTTCACAGTTTGAATAAGTATTGAGGGAAATAATACTTCTATTTGAAAAAAAAAACTTGTTTAAATAATTTGCACTGTGACAAAGTTATTTTTGCTCCACATATGTAAAGGTCTTTGGTTTTTGTCTGGAGAAAATAGATGATGTAGTCTTTGAATAAACACGATTTGTGTAAACACATTTACTGTTTTGTGAGTGTGTGTGTGTCAAAGTTCACTTTTTGTTATTCAGAACAATGATTTAATTATAAATCATAATCCAGACTGAGGGAAAAATCATTTTTCATTAGCGCGTTGGGACTTTTATTTTGTTTTATTTTGACTGCACTTTCGCTTCCGGTCCCTGCAGCGAGTGTTTTGGAGACGAGCGGCGGCTGTTTTGAAAGAACATGAGTAACGAATCTGATTCTGATCTCGATGAAAGAATAGAATTATTAAAACAGAAATATTTGCAGAGGAGTCATCGGGTGAGTTGGTGAATAAATCGTTTATTCGCGTAGAGTTCACATTCAGTTGGATATGTTTTGTGTGTTTATATCAGAACGCGACTTGTGTTGACAAAATGACAGTTCGAGAGAAGCAAATCATTCTCTGGTAAATCATAATTATGACAGTGATGACATCATTATGGCATAGTAAGACATCATTTCGACGTTTTACGTCATAATTATGACAAAAAATTCAAGTTATGAAATAAATAGAATTTATGAGGTAAAAAGGTAGATTTCCAATGTGAAACCTAGCTATATCATACTTTTCTATGTGAGAATCAGTTTTTATAACTTTTCGAATTTCAAAGTTCGACTTAGTTAGTCGTAATTTAACTTTTCCAGTAATAAATATTGCATTTTTTTCATTATTATGTAAATATAAAATATTAATATTTTACTTTTTTCTTTATTATGACTTTTAAAATGTAAGTTTGACTTATTTTATAATTATGACATCGACATAATTAAAATGTTCATCCCGTAAATGACTCAGTATGTCATAATTTCGACTTTTTGCACAATTATGACAATAATTTTAAGTCATATTTTTGATGTTAATCTCGTAAATATTACCTACTTTGACTTAATTTAAACTTTTTTTAACCTTCCGTTGACTTTTATAAATTGTCATTGACTGTTGTAATTATTTTTCAATCATGCTTTTGTATGACTTAATTTATCTCATAAATGACTGTCATAATTTCGACTTTTCTTTTCATAAATATGATTTACAAATGCATGTTTGTTTTCCTTATTTGATATTACAATCCTCAAATGATCATTTTATTCTGTTGAGAATCATAATAGTGTTACTAGGAAATTTGTATTTTTATAGTTTTTCTTTCTGTGTTATATTCCTCCATAACACAGAAGAAAAAACTATAAAAATACAAATTTCCTATATATATATATATATATATATATATCTTAGGATCCTTTATAACTCAAGAAATTCCAATATGATTCTGACTGTTATTCCTCTATTATTGTTATTATTTTATGGTGTTTAAGGCGTCTCAGCAGGTTCCAGACGCATCTGCACCGCCGTCAGCTGAGGATGATGGTCAGTATTATAATAATAATAAAGTGGATCTTTGCACATGTGACCGGTTGAATACCTCACCCGTGTGTGTTTGTGCAGTGAGGAGAAATCAGACGTGCAGAAAGATGAGAGATTATAATAAAGCCCTCAGAGAGATCTACAGGACTCGAAGGTCAGGGGTCAAATATGATCTGCTTTAATTATGATTATTACTATTGCACTGAATTGACCTGTGGTCTGATGTTCCAGTGGAGCTGACAGTGCTGAAGAGGATTCTCCTGAAGAAACAAACATATTCTGCACAGAGACAGGTTACACACACACACACACACACACACACACACACACTCAGCATGAAGAATCAACTGTGACGGAGCTCAGAGAGTCTCGTACCAAATCATGTTCATTTATGCCATACCAGATGTGACGTTTAAAAAAACAAACAAACTTTGTATGTTGTTGTTTTTGTCAAAAATGATACAAATAATCACATCTAAACAAAACAGAACAATCGTTTGGTCACTTATGCCTTTTTAAATAAAAACATTGATGAAAGTATACGTCACAATCCATTTTTCCCAACACTGTTCATAATGTCCAGCCATTCAGACTGTGTTCTTGCTAATATCTTTAAAAGGTACTTGGGTAACACTTTACTTGAAGGGCTGTGCATAAGACTGACATGTGTTTCATCATCAAAATGAGCCCAGATTAATTGTAGTAAATGAGCAATCACCAAAAATAAAGCGTATTCCTCGTGTTTCGTCTGCAGACGTGACTCTGCCGTCAGATCTGGCCCGTTCCTCCGGCTCCTCGGTGCTGAAGGACGTCACGGCAGATCCCCGGAGCTCGAGCGGAGCAGCGCTGCGTGTGTATCGGGAGATGCTGCACATCTACGAGAAGCTGCAGGTAATGATCGTTCACATCTGTGTGATATGAGTGTGTCAGTCAGAGTTTGAACACTTAGAAAAATGTAAAGAACTGACATTTTTATATTTCAGCCTGTTGCAAAGGCGGCATTTCTCATTTGATTTAGTTTAAATTGATGTATTAAAATAGCTAAAACTAAAAATGATTATCAAAAAAGAGGTTCTCAATGGTTACACAAATCTGTTTTCATCTTTGTTTTGTGTTTGTTTCACTGTCATGTTTAAAATGTGAGAATGAGTGAATGAAGTCTGTAGTTTCCTGTTCTTCAGAGATCCATTCATTGGTGCCTGAATATTGGTTAAAAATATCACTTTATATTATTAGCCTCGAGCTGTCATAATGTAATTGGTTGTTGTGTGTGTGTGTGTGAGAGAGAGAGTGTGTGTGTGTGTGTGTGTGATGGGTAGGTTTAGGGGTCGGGTTAGTGTGTGTGTTTGTGTTATGTTTGGGTCGGGTTAGTGTGTGTGTGTT